TGGATTGGTCACTTCGATTTTTGACCATTCCCTTGTAAGAAGAGCCACGTAAAGAATAACTCACCTCTTCTTTTGCTCTTGTCAAAGGATCAAGCATAGTGATACGTCCTTCAGCGTCAGTGTTGTAGATATGTATTCGTTTACCACTTCGAGCCTTGATCACTTCATCGCAAGTGTAAGAATTTGCACCTATGCTGTTGCGAACCATACACATGTAACCAACGGCCTGGAAAGAATTTATGTGTATGGTATGAAAACCGACTTTGTTCTGACAGTAAGAAGCAACTTAATACTCTTTCTGATGTAAAAAAGTACGAAATGAGAATGGAAAGAATTAAAAGCCGACCTTCAGGTTCCTTGGTTTCAAAATATCCAGAACTTTGAAGAAACCAGCGACTATAGCACTACCATACTTGTCACGACACATTCCCCACATATGTCCACCTGTTTTCAAATCGGCGCCACCTAAAAGGCATCGTTAACACCACGAATAAAACTTGAAAAGTATAGAGCTTACCAGTATCAATCGTTACTCCCTTGCCAACCATCATATAAGTGTTTTCTATGGTCCCTTTTCCGACGTATTCCAGACGAATAAGACGAGCCTAAAATGATCAAAGACTTTCTTTCACCATCAAATATTATTAATAAAAAAAATTCAAATCCTACTTCGTGATTTTTCACGGTATTGGCACAGCGATTCACGGCAGCCATAAGCGGATATTCTTTCTCGATGATTCTTTGGTCATCAGTAATTTCGACGTCGACATTTCCTCCAATAAACGCTGTCTGTAAATTGAACGGTGAAGTGAGATTGGGTTATGATTACTAGTCAGAAGTAAGCTTGCTTATTTTTCTCTTCACAATATGAAGGCTCCAAAAAATTTAGAAAAACTAAAGAACTAACAAAATATGCCAAGTTCTTACCCTAACGTAGTCTGCTACATTGGGTGGTGACATTCGCTCAGGTCCAGTCTCCGCTATGTCACGACTTACGGTAAATGCTGCTTCAAAGGCTTCTACGAGGTTCACCAAGCGGTCCGAACTCAGCTAAAAAGATTGGCATCCGCTCCATGTTATTTCATTCTCCTCATATAACATAACTTAGTTTTGAAAACTTACAGGAAGCAAGCCAAACTGGTCAAACTTCTTCTTCGGCTCTTCTTCACGAACATTGAGCGGAGTATAGAGAGGTATCAAGGCACCAAGAGCAGAGACCAGTTCTGCTTGAGGATATCGAGGATGTGGCACAGTGACTAGCAACGGAGATTTGAGTCCAGCGGAAAGCGCTCTGTAAAAGATGGAATAAGGTTCTTACAATATACTTTAGCATCTACATGAATTCTGTGGGTGATAGTGACCTATGACCGTAATGAATGAACCCTGCGGTCAAAATCGAAACTAGAAAAGCCTCCAAATGTTTTTACCCAAAGTACTTTTCCATGTACATGGAATTAATTGACAGCGGATGAGAGTTTGTTTGTAGAGAAGTTGTCCGCAATGGCACCATTCTCTGCGTACGACGAGTCGCCTATATCAGTAAGAGGGGCGAGGATAACCGCTTCAAAATCTATTTCAGAATCCAAAGCAGAGTTATCAAAAGCCTTCATAATAGCCGTCACTATCATTGGAATTGCCAATAAACTCTCCTTTTCGCTTCACTTTAACGAAAAAATAATTATTCCCCCATACCCAATTTTTTAACCATAAGATTAGCTGTTACTCACTAAGGCTGGCGTCATACTTGAGCGGCACAGTTCCAG